TTCCTTCCTTCCTTCCAAAATTGCTTCCTTCCAAAATTCCTTCCAAAATTCCTTCCTTCCTTCCAAAATTCCCTCCTTCCTTCCAAAATTCCTTCCTTCCTTCCCGCCCTTTCATTCAGCTCCTTTATCTCTTCTCCCGCTCCCCACCCCTTCACGCTAAACCCTTTGCCGTGTGCTTACACTGCAGATTAGGGACTAATTCACAATAATTTCTACGCCGAGTGTACAATTTCCTCCAATTCCCAAATCCCCTCAGATTTCTGGCGGACCCCACAGACGGTGCCGTGTCCCTCCGACCGGGCGGGGGCGCTGTCGCCAGGCCCGGGTTCCGCCTCCCCTCCCTCAGCCGCTCCTCCTTCCGCCCTCCACTCCCGCCGCTCCCGTGCTGTCCCCGCCGTGTCCCGCTGTCGCCGTGCCCGCAATCCCCACGCGGGGCTCGGCCACCTTCCCCAAGGTAAAACCCTCCTGTGTTCCCTTCCTGTGCCTTTTAGGGTTTTCCCCCCTCGGGAAACGGGACAGCGCGTTGTGGGGAGGCAGGGCCTGTGTGCGCGCTGTGCCCTGCTGCTGTTAGTGAACGCGRTGTGGAATCGCTGAGGGGTTTGGGTTGGAWAGGATTTTAAAGATMTTATCRTTCCAACGCGCCTGCTATGGACAGGGACAAATTCCACACCTTCACTAGGCTTAGAGCTCCATCAGCCTGGCCTTACATGTTTAATGAGCGACGTGTTTACGGCTTGCTTACATATCCGTGAGAAATGGAACGCCGGCTTTAGGCTTTTTTGGCTTTTTTTTGAGGATCGATGTTCTCTACTCAGTAAACGGTTATATTCCTGTTGAAAATCGTGTCTTGAGAACTTGGCTGAGTTTTTCAACGAGAAGGTACCGTGTTGTGCATCTGCAGGCCATGGTTAAAATAGTTTAGCAGCATCTGACAGAAAGGCAGCTGGTGCTTAAAAGTTATGAGTACCTTGTCATGAAACTCCCGGATCTGTCATGTTGCTGCAAAGGTGAAAATGTCTCCTTTCTAAGCTTGGTTGCTGCCAGCAACGTGGAGTGCAGTTTGACTTGCAAATTAAGCTTTAGATTATGCCAGTTTAAAGGCCTCATTTTTGAGACAAACAAAAATGGGATGACAGGATTTTAAAATCAGCATTGGGAAGTGTCTGGCATATTTCTTCGTTTTAAAAGCATAAAAGAACACTTCAAATCTAAAATACCCGAATATTGCTAATTCTATGCCAGTATGACCTTTGCTAAAGAAATGAGAGAGTGCTCTACATAAAGCTCTTCTCCAGAACAAGAGAAACCTAAAATTAATTTGGAGAATTTTTAGGCTTCCTTTCAGAAAAGCAGTGTGGAGGTCCCACAAACCTTTCTGATATGTGCCAGTCTCTTTGAAGTGGCTTAAGATTTTTAGCACTGTTTTGTCATGTGTGATTTGCTTTTCCTCTAAAATAARTAAACAGTACACTGGAATGGACTGGCCACCATAGCTCCAGGTAGATGGTTTCTTCCTGCATCCATGAAACTGATGCTAAGAACACAAATTTGCCACAGTTACTGCAATATATTCAACCGAAAAATGGGTGAACATGCTTCTAATAGTGAACAGCCAARTAAAAATAATAGTTAGCACAACTAAATAAAAAACAGCCAAAAAATGTTGGAGTTGCTGTTCAAAATGGTACAGAGAGGTACTGCACAAATTGCAAATATGGAAAATAGCATTCTGGTAAAGGGAAGTGCTTTTTCACGTATTGTGGAACTCATGGCTAAAGGAAACGGAGTCAGCAGTTTAAAAGGACTGGAAAAACCTCTTGGCTTTAATTCTGGATATCCACGATGCTGATACCACTGAAGTGTGGCAGCAGGTTTAAGAAGTTGTAAACACCGTGGTTTATTGTATACAGGAACTGC